AATACACAACGCGAACTAAACCCGGAACTTTATGAGTAATGTACATTACTTTACGAGTATTAGTATCATACTGCCGGGTCATTAATGTTGCCATATATAGCACAAGTTTATCAACAATCTGATTACGATTGCCATTCTGGTGGAATTAGAATAAATGCGTGAAATTCTATTCTTTAGTTAATCTGTAAATAAAGTAGAAAATTATTAAAAGAAAGAAAGAATAATATATTTATTTTTATTATGGTTTCCACTCAGGCTGTAATGCCGAAACGCTGATTTTCAGTGGAATCTGTTATTAATTAATTTAAAATTTATAAATTGTATACTGTTGCCTGCGTGAACGTGCGCTGTTGGTGGTATTTCTGATTAGGTGTAAATGTATGTTCTGATAAATGAAGGATATATAGGTAAAACAGAACGAACGATACAGTGGAAATTAGAATTTCTAATAGAATTTTCTTAAATTTTTGTTTAATTGAAACAAAAGATTAAAATAACTTGAACTACAGAGATAAGATATAGAGGCATGTCGCCTTAGTCCTTCGGATTCAGGGCTTCGGAGGTGTGAGACCTACCATAGGATAATAATGTTTTTATATACAAATTCTAACTTAAAATTCATAGCGCTGACAATATTATCTGTTTGCACAAAAATTGAGTACGTAGTTGTTTCTATGTTGATTATCGCTTACCTAATCCTTGTTAATGTATGTATACTTAGAACAACATTCGTTTAAAATTAAAAGAACAAGACACAATTTAAATTTTCTTCATCGTTCTTCTTCTGATGAACCTACATTCCGAATGAATGGTAGAATAAAAAAATGTGACTATTCCAAAGTGCCTATAATTTGAATTTTGTTTATTTGAATAAAGATTATTTCTATTTATGTTCTTTATGTTTTTCTTTATAGCGATTGTTTTACTGATGCCTTTTTTTGTATTATTTTTTCTCTTGAAGGTGATCTAAATATTACATTATATATAATTATCTTACCAAAGAACGTGTCTCACTTTAAACTATTTAAATATAGTCTTCCGTAACATATACTACAACATATAATAGTTATGTGATTATTACATAAACTAATTAATATATGTATACTTGATTCACTTGTTCAGTTATAACGGATGGCTGAAGACACATACGAGATGGTTATCTGGCAGGTTTTAATTAAATATTACCGCGACCTTGTTCATATTAATAACATCAACTCACGGCCACAGTGGCACAGTGATACTCATAAACCGTGTTACGGTTTCTGCGTTATTATTATTTTGGGTTCGATTCTCATTCAGATTAAAATTTAAAATTCTGAAGAAAATAAACAGAAACAGATTGGCCGTCTAAGCAAGTTTTTTTTATTATATATTATTTATACATTCAATTTATTCATTGGTTAGTTTGTAGAATACATTCTAACTGTATCTTTAACAGGTTTTTTAACAGGTACATAAAAATATATTAATTTTTTTATTTGATATTTCTATAAATAAAAAGCTATTGTTAATGTGTTGCTAAGTGCAAAACTCAAGAACGATTGAGCCATTTTTACTCTTATCTGTACGCCTTTTTACAAAAATTGCTCAGACGGAGTAGTATGAAATTTCACACACTTATAGTTCTTTTATATAGAAGGAGTACAGAATGCAGTAATTTTTTTTAAGTTATGCATAAAAAATACACTATTCACACGACTATGTAATTGACACACACGCTTATAAACTCTTTTGTTTCTTATTCTTTATATTATATATGGTTATTATATATTATACTAGCTGTACGCGCGACTTCGTCCGCTTGGAATTTAACTTTATTTTTCTAAAATAAAAGTAGCCTAAATTACTCCTTATTACATCAGCTAACTGCCAAAAAAAGTCCCGTCAAACTCGGTCCAGTCATTTCAGAGATTAGCCGGAACAAAGAGACCGACAGACAGACAGACAAAAATTATAAAAAAAAAGTTATTTTCGTTTATGTACCCAATGCATATAGTAAAAAACTGTTATTTCAATATTACAAACAGAGACTACAGTTTTATTTATATGTATAGATAATATTTTTTTATACATTATTATATATATATAAAGACTTTCGAAACGGTCAGAATGGAATAAAGCGCTACGGTATTGAGGGTCACCTGAACTTAATTTCACTTACATTAGTCTGGACCCAAGATGTGATAGGTACTTCTAATTATATTCATTAAGTGCATGATAAGACCTTGGGTGCAGTCACGGCATGGCCTCTACAATCCAGCAATTGAGCAACACCCCTTCTAAACAGTTCCTGGCGTTCCGCGCGTTGTTGAAACCGAAATGACTTAATGATTTTTGTCGCGAAATCTGTTTGGTAATCATTAATACCTCAATAGATTACGATTGTCATTAATCATCAGAGTTTTTCTCGGAGACTAATCACGTATTTTGTTGAAATTTTACGTAGCATTTACGAGTTTTTATTACGCATTTCAATCACAGGTCTTTGTAATTAAAGTACGCAAATCGTTGAAATTATCGTGTGCTCTATCTCTACCAATATTTAGATTTTTAATTTTAATCAATAAACTCAACACATATGTGACAGATTTTAAGGATACCTTCTTAACTAGGTAGACTGTGAATGTATTATGATGAGATCAAATAAATTAACGTAAATCTGATACTTCTCCACGTTATCGTAATTAAACAGGTAAATGACGATAATGTACGATTTCATATTTTGGTAAATAATATAATTATTTTTATTTATCTTTAGTCTTTACCTATATTATGGTCAATGAAATGAAACATGTAATTTTTAGACTTATTTGAGTTAAACATACAGGTGATGATAGTGGATTAAGATGGTACGGTAAAATACCGTTACAGTATGTCTACCACAATTTAAAACGATTAAATTATTTGCGAAAAAAAATCTTAATTTCCAGATACCTATTTAATTAAGTACTTCTAAAATCATATTCGTTATAAATCAACGCAAATAAATGCATCATGCAAACCATACTTGATTAGTATATTTTGTTTATTAGAATGTATTGTTTTGTAAACATCAATCGATCAACAATAAGCAAAAGATTCCATTGTCTATATTATAAGAGCGCTGCTCATCACTAACACATCATCAACAAAATGTTGACCGCGCTGTTATTAGGAAGGTCTATAAAAGAATTTTTCAGTTTGTTTCTTGGTGAAAATGGTTCTGTTACATGAGTCTTCAACCTGACTCTCTTCGTAAATTAAATCGAATCAAAAATCATTTATCCGTGTGTGATATTTTAGTCGCTTATGAACTTCACTTTTCTACTTTGTTTCTTATTGAAAATGGTTTAGTTTCATGGATACTCAACTTGGCTGTGTTGTAAATTAAATCAAATTAAAAATTAATTTATGATATAGGACATTTTAGTCGCTTATGAACATCATGTTTTTTGTAGTAGTATTTTTTTCCCTACAATCTTCGTATACACTTCTACTTAATATAGCCTTCAGGACTGTAATGTAGTGTGAGTAATATCTGTTTGTGCTAGTTGCAAGTACCTCAGGAAACACCTTAATTGGCTCATTAATTACAACCTCTAGTGGTATAATTATACAGTTTGACACAAGCTGCAATGTGCAACAGAAAAACTTCCAGTTTCTACAATATTGTTCTTATAGGTAGTTTCTACCATAGACAATCGGGACTTATATTAGAATTTCGATATTAAAATAATAATAAGATCAGGGTAATTCAGCGCCAACTAAATTGTGTTATGGGTACTAGAAAACTGATACAAATAATTTTTTTTCAAACGTAAATACATACATATTATGCATATAAACACCCACACCAATACAAACTATCATACTCATGAATGCAAATCTTTGTGCCGTGCGAAGAATCGAACCCGCGACCATCGGAAGTAAGGCAGTGTGCTAAACCGCTAGACCGCTAGGCCGTCATATCCTCGACGTGGTCCAGGGGAAATTTAATTTTTCTCTTTATAAAAATGGGGTAATGGATAAAATTTTAACAAACTGTATGTCATATTTATTTATATTTTGATAAACAGCCTAAAACATAAATTTCGAAGACCTTGCTTTAAAAAATATATTCTATAGAAGTTGTATGCATCCTTTCATCTTCACTTTCAACCTATTTTTGGCATTAAAAGTTTTAGCAAGAAAGCGAGACAGACAGATAGACAGAGTTGCCTTCGCATTTATAATATTAGTAAGGATAGGAAAAGCGATTGGCAATTTGCAAGTCGTTCGATGGCTTTGTTTTTTTCTAGTCACAAATAAGCAAACCTTGCGACACGTTATTTAACATTGAAATGTTTACTAGCTCTGTATGTGCATTCAATAAGTATATCTACAGATATACTATGTATACGTTTGTATAATTCTAATCTAATCAGATACATGGAACTACGTAATGCGAATTATTTACTTCCTATTCTTGTTCACGCCTTTGTTCCATCTCTTGTTTATAGAACAACGGGCTTTTGTATAAACCTAATTTAATATAAGGCCTAAATCTACTTTAATATAGAAGTTCTCAATAAAGAAAGATTTCATTTTTTATATATACACACTGAACAATTTAGACAGCGCAATCTCAAGTCCCGAACTAAGCAGAGTTTGTGTTATGCGTACTAGACAAATTATATAAATATTTACTTTTTTACACATGAATACAAATATTTGTACCCTGCGAGGATCGAACCCGCGACCTTGGGAAGCTAAACCACCGTAGCCGTGATAAATATCATAAAAAGTGTATCTATCTCCTACAGATAGATACACTTTTTTTTAGTGTGTATCTATCTGTAGGATAAAGTTATCTTTTAACGACTGCAGGTTTGACAAAATATGTAGATTATATTACTAGGTCGGACATAGTCTATTTCATATATCATGAAGAAATTTAGACAAAGTCGCGAATAACAATTAGTTTTTAATAGCAGCTAAATTTGTTTATATTTTTTACAAGAAACTATTTTTCTTTAATTCAGGTACGATGCCGTCACTCTTAGAAGCTCTAGAGCGCAAATATGGGGCTAAGGGCGAAGTGAATCCCCCCATCGATGACATGCCAGTCGCGATATTTGTCCCCAAACGCTCGCCCCGGTTGAGTGTCCCCACATTACTGGTGCTCAATGACTGTGACATAGACTGCGCTGGGGACCCCTGCGCCCTGGCGGATAAGTGTGCTGATGTCGTGGAATTGGACATCGCTAATAACAAACTCACAGAATGGCAAGAGGTAAGATCTTCAACAGAATCTATACAAATCAATAAAATTGAAGTGTTTGTTAGTAATTTCAAATGATCAGCTTTTCACTAAATGGAAATGACAATATATACGATACTTACTCAAGTTTTCACAGGTTCGTTTCAAAAAACGATCTTCTATAACCGGAAGATGGTTTAGTATTACATTGCCCATAGTGTTTTATGTTCAAGACATTGTGTTCGAAGTGCCTCATCTTTGCTGTTTATATGTATAGAGGTCACGAGACGCCTAAACTAGGCGAACAATTGGTTATATCCGAGAACATACGTTTTGATTTATTATTCTATGAAATGACTGAACCGATTTTAATGAGACTTTCACTCACCGATTGTAAATGTTATAAAGAGTATAAAAAGAAGTATTGGTACTGATATTGGTACAAACAATGCCTGCGAATTAACGAAGACAACAACATATATACTTAATGTAGCAATTCTTTAGGTCTTCGCTGTACTGGAGCAGACGCCACGAGTACGCTTCCTGAATCTAAGTTTCAACCGGCTATCAGCACAGATCCAAGCTGCCCAAGCTCTCCGGCCACGATGGGACAGTCTGAGCCATCTCGTCCTAAACTCTACGTACGTCGGCTGGCCCAGTGTCCACGGGCTGCTCAAAGCTCTACCAGCTCTTGAAGAGCTGCATTTGAGCCTCAATGAGTATTCGTACGTGGACTTAAGTGGCAATGAGGTGAACGAGAAGGACCGTTGCGAGGATTGTTCTCGTCTGAACATAGAGAACAGCGATACTGTCCACGAGCAACTGAAGAAACTCCACTTCTCCGGGAACCACGTCAGCAGCTGGAGGGAGATATCCAAACTGGGTTATGCCTTCCCTAATTTAGAAACGCTTTTGTTGAACGACTGTCCCATAACAACATTAGCACCAGATCCGTGTGAAAAATGCCAAGATGACAATGGAAATAGAAAGAGCCACGATGCATTCCCGTAAGTTTTAAATCTGTTTATATTTTTTATTTATTACTAGTTTTGAATCTTTGGCTTTACCCACGTGAATTGGTGAATTTCAATATTCTATATTGAATACTTTGAAACTATTCAATTAAAACAAGATAGCAAATATTAATATATAGGTATATCCCCTCAGTTCATATATCTATGTCCACCTCCAGATGCACTGGGTACCCAGCGGTAAATAGATATCCAGTGCCTTTGACGCGTACAACCCGACATTCCTATATAAAATTTCCAAAATTATGAGCACCCGGGCGGAACCAGACTTGTCACTAGTATGCAATAAAGTGACAATAAATGCATATTTATTATTTTATAAATGAACATACAACATACATTCTAATATAATTAAAGTATGTCTGACATTTAATTACATACAATGATTACAAAATTTCGATTCATTATCTCAAACTAACATTATATGTTCTCATTGCCATTGACCCAGTGAACAATCGTGACCCATTGTGTTACGACTTACAATATGTTATCGGGCGGTCTTATTATTGTTTTAATACGATGATTTTTGCTATTCCAGTCGCCTCAGGTTCCTGAACCTGAACAACACGGGGCTGGCCACATGGGATGAAGTGGACCGGCTGGCACGGTTCCCCGCCTTGAAGAGTTTACGGGTACAGGTAAGTTATGTGTCTATGTTACCTTCACGATATGCTTTTTATTTGTATATAATGACTAGCGAGCCGTCCCGGCTTCGCACGTGTGCAATGCTGGTACTAAATATGCCTACCTACTAATTGTATTGCTTAAATTGCAATTTTTCCCGTATAATGTAATGGATAAAAAATGGTTATTATGGGTTATCCTTATGAGATAGACATATACTATCGCGGACTTTTTTGTTGATCTTTTTAAGGTGTGTAAATACTGTATTACATTATTTTGATTTATCTCGTGGGGTTCAGCCAGCGTTTGCAAGCTCAAAAATATGTGTTTATTTACGACATCACTCTCCTCTCTAAATTTATCAGTGTTTCTCTGCAATATTACGCTTGTATTATACATATAAAGCTTTCCTCTTGAATCACTCTATTTTAAAAAAACACTTCAAAATCCGTTGCGCAGTTTTAAAGATTTAAGCATACATAGGGACAAACAGCGACTTTGTTTTATACCACAATTATGTATGTTGTGATGCTCCCGCCACTACTAAACCCTTCTATAAATTACGTCATACGTTGAGATGGGAGGGGGTCAAAGTGTGACGATTCGTGACAGTGACATTCGTGAGGTGTAGGTCTTATATTTCATAACGTCATATTCAAAATATATATGTTAGATTTTGATGTCACAAAACGCGTGAACTATTAAGTAATAAAAATATTTCCATTTAATAAAATTTCAAATTGTCATATCCTTATTATGGCGATTGGCGTCACATTTATATATGAAGACAGAAATATACTTATACCACAGATAATATAATATTACATATACTAATATTATATAAAACACCTAGTCCCAAGCTAAGCATAGCTTGTGTTATGGGTACTAAACACAAAATGCTTATATACTTTTTTTGTAAATACATACAAAACGCCCGATCGATATAAACAAATAATTGACATGAAAACAGATAATTGTACCGTGCCAGAAATCGAACCTGTGAAATTGAAAATAAGGCGATGTGCTAAACCAATACACCAAGGCTGTCAGAGGGCGGGAGTCACACAAATGTATAGGACTTGAAATAATCATCCCCCCCCCCCCCCCCACACCACACCCCAATCTTCCTAATTATCGAAGTGCAACCATTAAATCTTAAACCAATACCTGCCAAGTTTAATGCCGGCCAAATTCTATTAACAATAGCTTTGTATAATAACGCTTCCGATTTAAAGATTACCAGATACCGAGCATTCTATTTTAATAGCGTGCCTTCTTAATTTATCCGGGTTGGAACCCTCGGGAGCTCCGCGATGCGGGTTAAGGTCTTCCCGATATAGTGGCGGCCTACTTGACTCGTTTATTACACAACCAATAAACACTCGGGCACGCATAATTGCGTCACGTCCGCGCTGCGTATGCGCACGCATATCAGGAACATCGGGCGTTTTATCATCACAGCCTTGGGTGTCGAACTAGTTGGATTTTACATTCTATGTGTATGTATTTACTGCTTATTATGTATTTGTAGCAAAAACGTGGAATGAATGTGTATTTTATTTGATATTTTTTAATTGATAGACTTCCTGGTCAATATATATCTATACAAATTAATAGAATTGAAATATAATACAATAGATGTGATAGATGATATGAATAAAAAGAGTATGCTCAGTTATGATGACGTAGTGGGAGAGGATGACTTGCTGCGCCGACTCCAAATAATGGGATAAAGGCAATGATGATGATGAAATAAATTAAAATTGAAGTGTCTGTTTGTAATTTCAAATTACATATGAAAGCACTAATTACATATGAAAGTATAATGTACTTATATTTTAAAAATATTGTTTTTTATCTCACTCCCTGTTCGATCTTTGTAATCTCTGAAACGACTGAACCGATTTTCACAGGACTTTCACTCGCAGATAGCTAAAATTATAACGAGTAACTTTGGCTACTTTTTTTAGAAATATTATTTATTTTTATTAAATAAATCCGCTCGCGGATAACAGCTTGTTCGTATATACGTATACTAAAAGCGACTAATGCCAGGCGACTTTAAGGAAGTTTTGATATAGAGATTTTTTTACAAACAAGTAACTGATCTGATGGTAAAGATTTACCATTTCCTAGGATCGCCTGAAACAACAGTAGTATAAAAATCACATTGTCGAATTAAAAAATATCAATATGCATTGATCAAATATCAATTTTTAAGATTAAACACTTTGCTAACATAATGATATACGACATATCGCATGATGTAAAAATGAAAAAAAGTTGAGATCTTCGTATTTTTTGAAGTCGGTTAAAAACAGTCTCCATATTACCTTAACCCCAGTTGTTGGAAAAGGTGAGCTACTCAAATAACAAAGGTCTAGGCATGATCGTTTTAGATATATCCATATGCTACGCCTCATAAACTCCAGAAGTTCATGGGCAACCCTATGACATTCCCGCAATCGAGGTGCAATAATACGAAAGGTCTAAACAGCATGTGGCTCGTTGCAAACTAATATAATCCATAATTTAAATGCATAAAGCTACTATTCGTTTGTTAATCTCACATCTGATATGTGACCGTCACGCAACAAGGAATGTGAAAGTGATTCTGAACAACTGCAAATAGGTATTGTATTGTTATTTTAAGGTATCAGATCGATAGGACTGCATTAACTACAGGTATAACTTACTACACTTTGTACAAAGTCGTCAGCGTGGATTCTGTTTCATCTACTTTGGCGGAAAAAGCTAGATTTTTTTTGTAAATACTTAAATAATATACATATAATACACCCAGACCGATACAAACAATCAGACTCATAAATACAAATGTTTACACCGTGCAAGGAATCGAATCCGGAATCTTCGGAAGTGAAGCGCTGTGCTAAACCGCTAGACCACCGAGGTCGTCAAAATAATGAATATCAATGTATAAGTGGTATCATGGTTGTCGTATGATAACGTGATGTCTGACATGTTCATGTATATAGACGAGTTTATAGTTACCAACACGTAGTCCTCAGCTTGTTTGCAATTCGAATTACATAAAAAAATAAGTATATACTAACTACCGTTTAATACCATATATCAAAGTCATGATTACAAGCATTGTTACACATGTAATGCAATAATTTCTATTATAACTGACGTGCGTGAGGATGTATATATGAGTAGACATATACAAGTGTGAAAAAACGTCATATCTTTTCAATTTATGTAATTTTTTATATGAAACGTATACGAAGTGGTTTGCTTCGTTATTTCTTAATCCAAACTGGTGAGGAAAGCTGTTTAGTTTCTTTTCCTGTGCCCTGATAAAAAGAAAAGAAATAGAAATCAGAAGAAAGTATATCCGTACAGTCTTTATTCATTGATTCCGTCAAAATTCATTAAACACCAGTAGTCATAATTTTGAATAAATAGTTAATGTTATTAGAAAGGTTATCGTATAAAATACTCACAGATAATAATAAAACAGAACACTCTTTTCCAATTACGTTAGAAAATAAAAAGATATATAATAAAATTTCATTGTACTATTTTCGTTATCTATGCATATGCACGCGCATTTTCTTTTTACGTACTATAACTTAAAGATTTATTTAATTATAGTTGTTAATTACGGCTCATAATTATATGATTTGGTATTGAATATCAATTTTATGTAGATTGTACAATTATTGTTATGAAATTTCTGTTTCATTTCACAGATTATATCCTAATTTATGCGGTAAAAACCACAGACAAAAATAAAAGAAACTAATCTCGAAATCTGGAATCGTTCTACAGTAATAGCAATTAAGTATCGAATACAGTATTTAATGGCATAATTTCAGCATCGTAACAACATGGCCTTCAGGCATGATGGATTCACGGCACTTAAAAGATAATATTGCACGAAATAACAACTGAAATTAACGGAAAGGCCCCATGCTGAGTCATATCGAAATTGCAATACCTAAATGTAATAAGTGAACCAATGCAGAGCATGCATGGTCGGTCGTTCACATTCACAGTTGATTTACTTAACCTTGTAACTTTTTCTTCATTGGATTAGTGGTTTAATACTGCTTAAACTTCCGATTACTTTCTTGTAGGCAAAAGATCACACCTTGTAATTGCATCTTATTTTTTGGCATAGGACCGCCAGTAGAATAGTCAATTACTACAGGGAAAGAACAACGGGGCATTTGGTTCCTAAGGTATATAATAATTTAGAAGTGATAACAATAAAATTCAAGTTTAAGCAGACCAGTACTATAGTCAAAATTATAAAAAAGACTTTTATGTAATGTTAATAAATACACATTAAGTAAAATATTGTTAAATATCTGTATAAATGTGTATCTATAAATGTGTTTAGGTAGGTAAGTATTGGTATTAAGAAATATGAGCTATATATTTCCAACAAACCGTTCTGCACTTTGGCGGGCCATTCAATAATGATAAATATTCCAACGTTTAAATAAAAAAAATACGTTTCAATTGTGAAAAGCTCTCGATATTACTGAGATCAGAAGCAGACCGGGCTTTATGGTTTGCCATTGAGATGAGAGGATTGGCCAGACAAACGCTGCGTGACCGTTTCTAGCTGTTTCCATTTACATTGCTGGTGTATCTTGCACCTACCGATGGTTGCGAGTTCGATCTCTCCAATCGTAAATGTTTGTATTCATAAATATTATTGTTTATACGTCTGGGTGTTTGTCTATGTATATTAAGTAATACATTTAAAAATTTCTAGTACCTATATGATCCCACTGCTCAGGATTAATCTCCTTGCATAAAAGAAATTTACAAGTTGTTTCATATGATGGCATCCTGTTAATGAAAAAATAACAATACATTAAAAACGCGGAATTATAATTTAACTACAAACAATTATTAATGTGATAATAAAGTACATAATATGTACAATCTTGGACAACTCACACAGCACCACCTAGTTCTAAGCCGAGTTTGTATTATGGATAATAAAACTGATTTTGCTATTTTTAAATATTTTATC